AGTGACCCCACATCTCTACGCAACGCCAAAGGATCAAGCCGCTCGGAGAGGGATTGGTCGTCAACGATTCGAACCGCTCTGCGTTGTATACGGTCAAGTGGAAGGAGCTGGTACTGGGGAGCCCCCGCCCAGAGGTGAGAGCAGTACTCCATGTGGGGCCGAATTTGCGCTTTATATAGTTGCATGCGGTGGCCCGGAGTGAAGTACCGTCTCGCCTTGCTGAGCACACCAAGCTTTTTGGAGGCTAATTTAGCCTTTCCCTCCAAGTGACCGCGAAACTGAACGTCGCTCGATATGTCAACGCCAAGTATTCCAATGCTGGCTGTGGCTTTAAGAAGAGTGTTTTCGAAAAGAGGAGTAGCGACAAAGGGTGTTTTTTTAGCGGAAAACGCGCAAACTTGTGTCTTCTTGGGGTTAAATTGGACTAGGTTTTGTCTGCCCCAATCTGAGACTCCACGAAGTAGAGTTTCAACTTCAGACACAAGTTTGTTCCGGTACTCATCAACAACTGCCCGAGAAATACCTGCCCGGCCAGTGTAAAAAGTATCCCCAGTACTGTCATCCGCATAGCAATGAATGTTGCTAAGTTTCAACATATCATTGATATGCAGAAGAAATAGGGTCGGGGATAGAACACAGCCTTGTGGGACCCCAGCGTTTACGGGTTTTAGGTCGGAACATGCTCCGTCGATGACGACCTTGATGCTCCGATCGGCCAGAAAGCTGGAGATCCAATTGCGTAATTTCTCGGGAAGCCCATAGGCTGGAAGCTTCGAGAGCAGTGCTCTGTGCCACACCCGATCGAAGGCTTTCGCTATGTCCAAACTAACCGCTAGCGCCTCCCCCTTGGACTCAATTGCCTCTGCCCATCTATGTGTAAGGTATACAAGGAGGTCACCAGCCGAGCGACCACGACGGAAGCCGTACTGAGAATCGCTAATCAGCTGGTGGCCCTCTAGATACCTCAAGAGCTGGCTGTTAATAATGGTTTCCATTATTTTGGAGAACAAGGAGGTTATAGCTATTGGGCGATAGTTGGACGGATCAGAGCGATCGCCTTTTTTAGGGATCGGATGTATCAAAGCGGTCTTCCAGCACTTCGGGACAGTGCCGAGCGAGTACAGGTACCGGAAAAGGCGCGTTAAGACCGGAGCCAACTCAGGAGCACAAGTACGCAGCACAATTGGGGGGATACCATCCGGCCCGCTCGACTTATGAATGTCCAAGGAAGATAGTGCTTTGCGGACAGCACGTTGCCGGAATGTGATTTCCGGCATCGAAGAATCACACCGCGAAATGGTCGGTGGTGATCTCCCTCGGTCATCCAAAGTCGAGTTAGACGCGAAGAGACAGCCCAAAAGGTCAGCCTTCTCCTTCGCAGTGTGGGCCAGAGAGTCATCCTCCCTGTGCAGTGGCGGAATGGCGGGCTGACAAAAATTCCCTTGGACAGCTTTGGCGAGAGACCAGAAGGCTCGAGTCCCTGATGGGAGTAGGGCCAATCTCTCGCCAAATCTGGCAATGTGCTCTGACTTTGCCTTAGTGATTTCCCGTTTGAAGGACCTGGAGGCTGAGTTATATGCTTTTTTAAGTTCGCTGGTATTGGCATCACGAGATTTCGCCGCTTCCGCCCATGCCTTAAAACATTCTCGCTTTCGACGCGAGGCCGCCTTGCAAGAACGTTTAAACCAGGGCTGAGACTTGCCACCGATCGGCACCGCAGAAAATGGAATAAAGAGTTCCATGCCCTGCAGAACCACTTCGGCGACAGAGGCGGCGACGGAATCTGGAGCTTCCGGCGAAAAGCACATAGGCCCCCAAGGGTAGGACGCAAAGAAAGACCGCATCCCGTCCCAATCTGCTGACTTATAGTGCCAAATACGGCGACAACCCATAAAGCGGGGCCGTGAAGGGCGCGTAGATGGCACAGTACTCCGGACCACACAATGATCTGATGAACCCAATGGCGGGTCAACAGAGACTTGATAGTTCTCCGGATGAGAAGTCAGCAGAAGGTCCAACAAAGAGGGTTTATGACCATCCACATCTGGTATTCGCGTAATCGCAGGGACCATTTGTGTCAGGTCGTAGGCTAAAGCAAAGTCGTGAAAGGATCTTCCCGCGTGATCGGTGGTTTCAGAGCCGAGCCAATCGGCATGGTGGGCGTTAAAATCGCCAAGTATCACGATTTCAGCGGTAGGAACCCTTTCGAGCAGGGAATCTGTAGCCATTTGGATGTGCTCAATGAGTCGGTCAGTTTCGGTATTTCCGCTATGGGACCTATACAGGCATGCGTAGAATCGCGGATGGTCATCGCAGTCTACGCGCAGCCAGAGGTTAGATAGGTCCCTTCCTTCAAGCGTCCCGAGGCGACGAGAACAGATATCCTCTCTGACGTACACGCAAACTCCAGCCCGCGGCACAAATGAATGTTCCAATTTGTACCCCGGGTAGGATAGGTGGGAAGTATCAGCCGGGGAGGATATCTGAGTCTCGGTAAGAAAGAGCAAGGCCGGCTTCGCAGTCTCTAGATGATAGTGGACAGCGTTGATGTTAGAATTAAGCCCCCTAACATTTGTGAAGTCCACGGCGAGTGTGGACGGGGGTGCCTTTGTATAATTGCTCCGTTTGCCCCGAGGACGATTACTATTTTTGTAGAGCGCAGAATTGCCCCCCAGAATACGAAGGGCAGCCTGTGCGTCCACCACCGGGTGCTGAGTGTCCCGGTGGTGGACGCCCAGAGGGGGATTCTCCACCGCGAGCGCGTGTGGTACCCCCTGGGGTAGATTCTGTTTTTCTGCACCTTCATATTTCTTGTGTGGGGGGGATGGGCTCCGGGAATCTCTCTCACCGCACGAAACGCGAGTACAAGAAGGCGAACCTTTTGCATCACTTCACGCCGGTTTTCTGAGAGACAGTGGTACTGCCCCGGTCGTGCCTGCCCATTTGGCTGAAGCCCGAAGGCAACAGCATGGCACTCCCACTAGGAAGGGGTTGACTGATTGCGCTGATGAAATAACCTCTGTCACAGGTTATTTCACCAGTGGGCGATGGGGTCGTCACGTCCCGACGCCTAAAAAATCTATGATATATTGTTTATTTGACAGAGACGTTTATTAAATTTTATATATATGTCTTGTTTAAATAAATTTTCATATTTTTATTTTAAATAAATAAATCCTTTTTTTTTGGCCAAGTATATTATGAAAATAAACACACGCTATCAGCCTAGCAAATGTCTAATTATAACTAAAGGCATTCATTCTATGTTAGTACCTCTAAATTTATCTCAACGTATCTCTAAACTCCATTACATTATAGAAGAATCGTACCTTTAAAATCTAATCATATTCCCTTGAAAGCATTATACGGTGTTCTGAAGTTCTATATTATTATGATCACATAGTATGTATATATTGTATGTACTATTTAATATGTTCTAATAAATAGTACATACAATAATATATATTTATGCAAGTTGGTGAATCTGTCAATCTGTGCCTGACAACGCGATATTTCCCTTTAAGGGGCCGTCTCCACGAGCGAGTAAATCGCAACGATACAATCGTCCTGCCACGCATTTCTATACAATCTCATATAACGTGTCTCCACACGGCGATCTTAAAGCGGCGATGCGCACTCGCCGCGGAACGTGGCGCTCTCACAGAGAGCGCGCGACGTGCGCGCTGTTAAACGCAGGCGTCCTGTTCACTTCATTTATGCGTTGCATCATCATCTTTTTAAACAATAAGTACAATGTATGATATTGAAAAGTTTATACTTGAAGTGAGAGGGAAACCTGCCCTTTACGATGTTAAGTTGCAAGAGTATCGGAACAGAGTATTTTAAGCAAAGTTATGATTTTCCATAGTAAATAATTATTTTATTGACTGATTTTGACACTACTTATTTCGGTCTCGTCTGGCACCACTGAACTCTAAATGAACACTGAATAAAATAAGAGCACAACGCGTCGTCAAAGAAACGCGGCGATTCCGTTACGAGTCGTTGCCGATACGCTGTGATTCCGTCGCGCGATACGCTGGCGGAATAATCGCTCGTTCGTAGAGATTACCCGACGATAAAAGCGCGGACTCGTCGCGAATCTCTCGCTTGTGGAGACGGCCCCTAAATGTTGCAACAAAACCGCGACGCGCTCTAAAATCCTAAGTACATTTATAAACGAGCTATGTGAGGATATCCATAGTTGCTCCCGTACCACTTTGAAATCGATTAATAATTTAACTGTTTTGTTTAATTTTTTTATTATTTTTCATGTATCTAATGTTCGCCTATAAGTGCTTGTCACATTAAAAAAAATATTTTTCTTGTACTTACCAATGTATCAGTGTGCCGAGCGCTGGCAAGCTTTTTTGAAATACATAAATAAATCTGTATATATCAAATTTTGTGCCATTATTAAATTGTATGTTTGCATGTACGTATACCATTATCATAACATACATAATGGATGCACACATGGTCTTTGACGTGGGTGATTTAAAATTATAATTCTATTGAATTCGCTAACATCTAAATGTATCAAATCTCTCAGGCAGTCTCAGAAGATCTGGGTCCCTTTCGGAAAATTTTCCTCTCCTATAACGTGTCTTTTAACAAATTCAGCGTAATTTAAAGAATATTCAAACTACATATGTATAGCTTTTGTTAAGAAAAACAATGTCATATCGCTGTTTATAGAGCCAGTTTTTGACAGGTCGATTTTCGAATAGAATAGATAGTTCACGAATAGCTTTTGAGTGATATGTTTGGTCTTCCGGTTAGTTAAATGTGCTCACGGAACGCTTTTGTTCTTTACTTTAACGACTGCATTACTCTTTTTTTATTTCAAAATACAATTTACATATTGTATGGAGACAGCGATGAATTGCTGTTTGTGTTTTTACGCCATTATTAGTGCTATATAAATAAAAATAATAATAAAAACTTTGCTACTTTAATATCATCATATTGTCTAAAATATAAGTAATATTTTAGACAATATGATGATATTCATGAATATTTCTATTGTTTCAGCTTTGGCGCTCTGCGACTGGTCGAATCTTCAACTGCGTCGTCGCAATCTGGCAAGACGTCACTGTGGACCAAAACAACACACTGACAACTTCGCACAAATCGGATCTGTGGCTACGTTCGAAGCTACCGAGTTGGTTCAGACTTTAAAGCAAATTACGAAGACATCGGCCGCTCCAGTCAACCTGAAACCTCTTCTGATGTCTACCGCTATGAATATGTTCTCTAACTACATGTGCAACATTCGCTTTGAAGAATCAGACCCTGAATTTCGTAAAATCGTCGATTACTTTGATGAGATTTTCTGGGAAATCAACCAAGGCTACGCTGTTGACTTCCTCCCGTTCCTCGCACCTTTCTACAAGAAACACATGGAGAAACTATCGCACTGGTCTCACGAGATCCGATCTTTCATTCTGTCAAGGATTGTTGACCAACGCGAAACGACAAGTTCATTTCACGACACTGAAAGTCCAGAAAAAGACTTCTTAGATGGTTTGTTACGAGTACTACATGACGATCCTTCAGTAGACAGAAATACTATTATTTTCATGCTTGAAGATTTTCTTGGAGGTCATTCTTCTGTAGGAAACCTGGTTATGCTATGTTTAACAGCTGTAGCAAGAGATCCAGACGTGGGCAAACGTATCAAAGTTGAAATTGACAGTATCACGAAAGGAAAGCGAGCTGTAACTCTTACCGACAGGCCATCCTTGCCATACACCGAGGCAACAATCCTGGAGGTACTCAGATACTCATCATCTCCCATTGTCCCTCATGTGGCCACAGAAAACGCAGCAGTAGCCGGCTATGGAGTAGAGAAAGGCACTATCGTATTCATTAATAACTATGAACTGAACACATCAACAAAATACTGGAACGAGCCAGAGAAATTTGATCCGTCGAGGTTCCTGGAAAAGTCCAAAATCCGTGTGCGACGAAACTCTCTTTGCGACTCCGGTATGGAGTCGGATGGGGAGAGAAATGGACCTATTGACAAAACAAGAGAGGTTGAGAAAGAGATAGTCTCTGTAAGGAAGAATATACCTCATTTTCTTCCATTTAGCATAGGGAAACGAACGTGTATCGGCCAAACTATGGTAACAACCATGAGTTTTGTCATGTTCGCGAATATTATTCAAGAGTTTGATGTAGCTGCTGTTAGTAAAGATGACTTGAGGCAGAAGCCAGCCTGTGCTGCTCTTCCGAAAGACACATACCCATTGTACCTTTTACCAAGAAAATAAACACTAAATTTATCAGCAGATGATCCACTTCGATTATATAGTGACAAATTTAAATGGTTCTGGTAGTAAAACTGGCCAACTGCTCTCGTACACAATAAATACGTGCTCGCGGCACACAAAAATCTTTGATGCTTTGAAATTGAGGTTCTCTTTTTGACTCCTGCGACGACTGAATGGTTAGATGTGGATCATTTGTTTATGAATTATTTGTAGATAATTCTTTTATGTTGTATTGTGTCTGCTTAAGGTCACATTATGTTTGAATAATTAGGTCAACGCGCACACGTGTGCATGGAAATCCTAGGTTCCAATTTAGCAGAAAAGTATCTGGCGAACAAACACAATATAACATAAGAGATACGCTCAAAAATTATTTATTTCTTGAAATAAGTTTTTGAAATATTTCGAACTACGTAGACAGAAATGATTAACTCGAAACAGTTTTCAACAGACGTTTGAATACAAATTCAAATTAAAAGAAAACTAAAATTGTTATTTTATTTTTAATAATACGACTGCTTTGTTTATTGGACTTATGATAATTAGTTTAGATTAGTTTTAGATATGTACCAAGCATGAATGTATCTAGCGAATTGTGACAGTAGCCAACGTAATGACGAAACATGACGGTCTATTCCGTTTATTTGTGATTGGTCAACTACATCTCTAGGCGAACACACGTTACGCCATATTACGAATGTTTGTCTCACAATCTAACTGTTCCTCCTGTATATACTCATCACCCAGTCTTGCCAACTTCTATCTCAATCAAAGACTTCTCAAATGCATTCAAACAGCATTAAATTAATCCAGCATTTTATAATGAGTTTGCCGTGTCAATGTAAACACAAATCAACTAAAACCTTTGTTAATTATTTAACGCAGGCTATATCAAATTGTTTTATATAAGAAAGTCTAAATTATCATTATCTAAAACATCGGGAGGACAGGATTTTTAACTTGCATCTACATGCTTACAATGAGACAGTGTCGCCGGGTAATATAAGCTTCTAAGCTTTGCCAATAATGAGTAGAAATTCAAAATCATTTAGGTTACACAATGTACACTTATGAACGTTAAACAAATACATATTAAATGCTTCTAATTATACATTTACTGCCAGTTCTCATATCAAGGGCGTAGAAACGAGAAGAACTGGCAATAAACTCTCCGCCACTCTTTTTAATCGTCAAGTTTTTTGTTTTCAAAGTGTTCGTAAGGAGCTGCAACCATCACATGTTCCACGTGACATCTTTAAGTAATAAATAAAAAAATGACAGCAGGATGGAGGATGGAGGCATGGTGAAATAGGAGCACGCACTTACATTGTCGTGGGAACAACACGCAAATACATAGTCGAAATAACTAACATCACCGCATACACGACTTCAAGTCCGACCAGTCACCACGTGAAGCAATGCAAGAGTAGCAGCAGTATTGGCTGCTTGTCCTTAATTATAAGCCTAGTGGCTTCAGTGTGCGACTCTCATTCCTGATCCCTTTTGTGTCTATATACCCATTTAACACTCACTCGGACGGTGAAGGATAACATCGGGACGAAACCTGCCTTAGACCCAAGTCAACGGTGGGCGTGTGTATAGGCTGATCACCTACTTGTCTATTAGATAAAGCAAATTATCACGAAACATATAGCAGACTGAGACTCAGACCTAAAAGGTTGTAGCACCACTGGTGTTTAACGCGAAATATTTGTTATTAGGACTTATTATCAAAAGAACGTTAGCATCTGAAACGTCTAAACCTAGTTTCATAACAATTATATTCATGCTTGGCACACGATATGTGATAGAAATTACTCAATTTGGCTGTATTTTTCACTCGAATTCACAAAAATATAGCTAAATTCATTAGACGTTTTGTGTATCGACTTTTGCGACTTTGACGAAATTTGTTAATAAATTTATGTGAAATCTTCAACAGCGCTCCGTGAACATACTCGTATTATGAATTTAATATAAATTATGTTCTGTCGAGACTTAGTGTCACTCTCGTATGCCAAAAATGTTTTAACATAAAATATTATTTTAATACAGCTATTTTTATTTTCTTTAACATTTTACATTCTCAAGACACGCTTCCTGCCTTGCGATTCTGTAACTCACTTTTCGAACTCTCACAGCGGTTTTCACAGCGGCGGTCGCGCTGAAATCAGTCGTAAAGCAGTCATTTTACGATTTGGCATTCTGATAAGGAGGGCGTGTAGTTTATTGTTTCGCGACCGCCGCCGCGAAAACCGCTGTGAGAGTTCGAAAACTGAGTTACGGAATCGCAAGGCTGCTGTTCATCTTTCAATCGATATTTTTGAATGTAAGTTTGATATAGTAGCAATGTTAAATCGCGCGGTACAGAAACTCATAATTGACGATCGCTATAACAAGTTACAGAATACCAGCGCTGTTTAGTGTTTTGATGTAGGTTTTTATAATAAACTTTTAACACTAGTATATCACGGAGTTCCTAAGCTTATCGTGTACCAAAATCCAGTGCATTTTGTAGCAATAAGTTTTATGTAGTTCAATGTATGTATGTATAGATTATAAATATATTATAGCAAATTGTATCATGTTTTATTTGTTCCTAGTCATTTAATTTAAGGCATATGACACAAAAAAACGATTTTTAATTAATTAATCATTCTACTTAGGGTCTCTCAAGAAACGAGCGTACCAATTCTTAAAAGGCCGGCAACGCACTTGCGAGCCTTCTGCGACCTAACATTAGATGAGCCTCCTGCCAGTTTGCCTCTCGTTATATTAGCAATATTCAATGATAATATATACCCTATGTAACTAAAATATATTTTGTATCACACATTTTTTAAATGGTTTTACAAATTTTTAAGGCTGTGAAGTTTTTGCCGCCTTTGCCTCTACAATTATCATGTCCAAGATTATTTTTACAATCCAACAACTTCGATGAAATTGCACGTATAAATTGTTTTATTGGGTTTGGTTTTTGATTATATACACCATTCAGTTCGCAGCCTCCAACAAGTAGTATGGGTTGCTATGGGGAAGAGGGGGAAGCCGGAAGAGTGAAATTACATTTTCTGATTTAGCTCTTTTCACTTATAGTGTGAGCTGAGGGTACAGAGGTCTATTACTGGTTGGTGGGTAGCGAACTAGCTGTTTTACTCTAGAATATAGAAGTTTGCTGACTTGAAGAAGACACCAAATGTACAAGTGAGAGGTGAAGGTCATTCTCAAAATTTCAAGCAAGCAGAAATTTGTTCCCATATTATGAAAAAAAAAATCTTAATTTTCCGCCCAAAAATCTGCCGCCCTGAGCTCCCACTCAGCCTGCTGGTAAATCCACTGCTATATATGGACCCCTTTTAAGTAAATACGAAACTTTAGTAATACATAGGAGTAATGTGTAATGTTATTTAACTACAGTTATTAAACCCTCCTCTTTTATATAACTTAAGTTTTACAGCCATTTATAATTGTTGCTGAAACCATGCGACGGTTAATATTAAGGATTTTGTTTACTTTATTATACAAAATATATTATTATTATTATTAAGCCTTTATTGCTGACACCCAGTTTAATATATTACTTTTTAAAATACACAATATACCAGTTAGTATACATTTGTGTTAGTTAGATAACCTTACTTAATCTAGTACATAAGATGTGCCGATTTTGGTGATCGCTTGTCCTGTGACACATAGGCCTCTTCCAGGTGCTTCCATTATTTTCTACTGTTAGCTCTTCTTGTCCAAGTTGTGCATGCTATTCTCTTTAGATCGTCTGCCGATCTCTTGCCGTGACTTCTTCTCTTCCTTTTTTCCACGAGATGGAAAAGAGGTAAATATATATGTATATATATATATATTACATATATTCAGTTTCAAATCGTTTTCTAGCAAAGGTAGATTTAATAAATCTTTTCTCCTTTTGCTACGCAGATAACTATTGGGAGCCGTGTGTGCTTCCTCAACAACGTATGAACGTAAACATTTTATTACTCACTTTACATACGAAATATAATGTTCATTCTTGCCACAATTTTACGCAAGCACTCACTTATTAATTATGACCAACACCTTAAAGATAACAAGCGTAGAAAAGGCATAGTGTGCACTTCAAAGCCCTTTCGCACAAGTTTTGCCCAGAAATTCTTCTGTTTTTTGGGGGATTACTTGTATAATAAGGTCAACTCTTCCCTTTCCACATATCCCCTAACTAAACACGAGTGCAAGAAGACGGTTGCACTGTGGCTACTGGACCTCAACTATGAGGATACAGAAAAAATGCTGACAATAATTAAATAGTTGAGTTTAGAGTTGATTTTTAGAATAATAGTTTTAGCTTCAATAGACTAACACTTAAGTAATAAAATATAAAACATACACAGACACACACCCACACACATACACATAATTTACACATACACACGTACCCCATCTGGTTTCCTCTATATACTATATATTGTAATGTATTGTATTGTATCTTCTGTCAATCCGAAGTAGTGGAGGCCTGATGACCTGTAACACAGGTACTCTTACCTTTATCAGGCATCAGTCTCACACAGACTTGCTTTTTCCATTAACAGAAGTGAGAATATAACTGTCACTTGCCTATGTTCTAAGTTTAAGTTTTTGTGAGAAAAAAAAAAAAATAAATAATAAATAAATAAAAAAAAAAAAAAATATTAAAGTGTAGGTTACAAATTTACTAGGAAACTGGAGAAAAATTTTCGGTCAAAATTAACAAATAATAAAATATAATAATAATAATAAAAGTCCTTTATTCGCTGACCTTTTTAACTTACATAGTATTCTTATTTAATGATCGTATTCTTAAATCTAATTTACATAGCGAAAATAAAATTTATCAGCAACCACTTTGGTCAGGTTGACTGTCGACAAAGGCCTCCCCCAATTGTTTCCACGTCTCTCTATCCTTGGCAGACCTTCTCCATCCTTTTGGTAGATCGTCTTCCCATCTTTTAATTTGACCTCTTCTTTTCTTT